AGGTTGTGCTGAGGGCACTTGGAGAAAGGAGGAGCCCGCCTTGGGTGGGGCTTGGGAGCAGGACTCAGCGCACCAGTGGTGGCACAGTGTGGGACAGTGGGGCCTTTGGAATCATACCTGAGCTTTGAATTTGGCTCAGGTACTTACCAGCTGGGTGACTTTGGCCAGTGACCATACCTGTGAGGGCTTTCATTTCCTCTGCCTCCTGAGGGGCATGACGATAACCCACTCACAGGGTCGCTGTGTGGACTGAAGGAGATAATATGACATGGCTCCGAGTAGAGTGCTCAGCACCTGCCAGAGCAGCAGTGCTGGCCCTTGTGTTCAAGGGTCACGTGTCTCGTGGAAGACCCGGCGTTGAACGGTAATTCAGTAAGCAGGACCAAGTGTCTGGTTATTTTCATTGTCATCTTTGGGCTTAAGGGAAGGCTGTGGCTGGGTTGCAAAGGGCAGTGTGATCTTTAGCTAGGTGGGAGCCATTGAATGCTCAGTACAGACCTCTGCTATTATGATACATTGTCTTCCTTTTCTCCCTAGAATGGCTTTAGGAAGAAAAGCCAGCCGTCCGGTGCAAGATGTATTTGGCGATTTCAGTGATATTTCCTTAGACTATTCAAAGATGGAAGAAATCAGAAACTTGAAAATTGGTAGAAGTCTTACCAAAATAGCACCCGGTCATAGTAGATTTCTAAAAAGAAACCAAAGTGTAGGCGAAAAAGACTTCCTCCTGAACGAGAACACCGTCTTGGGGTGTGGGCCCACGCTCGCTTCAGGGAGACCCCCCACCACGGCGTCGAGGGTCAGAGTGGACGCCGCGCTCACCAGGCTGGCCCGGATAGAAAGCAAAATCCTGAGTCGGAAGGTGCGGGTGAGTTTGACTGACACGGACTCTGACCCGAAGACCGCCGGGGCCGGTCTTCCAAAGAGAGCAGACGAAATGTCCCCAGGGAGAACGGTTGACCTTTCTTCCCAGCATACCGGGAAAACCTCCCAGAAACAAGCCCATGAACTTCCTGTCGCCAAGAGTGATGCACAGAATCCAAAGATCAGTAGGTTTCTAAAGAAGAAAGAACCCCCCGTTCAAAATATAGTCCCTGAAGCACCTGCTGGGAAACAGCGGCCTTTTCAAACACCCAAACTCAAAGAACCTGCTAGAAAATTTGATTCTCCAGACAGTGATGAAGAGGAAATGAAAGCATTGCTGGGAAGCTTGATGGAATCTTCTAGAGTTGAGAAAACATCTACGAATCAAGGCTTCCCCGACACTAAAGTGAGTGAGAAAGAATGAATCAGACTATTCTCAGTAAGCATTTTAATTTATTAATTTTTAGCAAAGCCTTAGCATTTGCTGCTGTCTGTCCTAACACGAGGGACTTTCATGGCAGCTGTCACCCATGAGTGACTTGAGAGAAGCATTTGATGAGGAGCCATTAGGGTTTCGGCCAATCACAGATCTCTATCGTGGGCCTGGTCTGGGAGGGTCAAGGACACATGACACATCAGGCAGCTTCGTCATATCTGTGACTTGCGGCTGCGTATACAGGACGACACCGTGTGTGGTTGATCGCACACCAGTGGCGATCCGTGCCCGCTTACCAGTGGCACCATGGAAACGTGGTGTTTCTGTCTTTCCTTTTTTAAAATTAAGGTGAAATCCATGTAACACAAATTAACCACTTCAGAGCGCATAATTCAATAGCATTTATTACACTCACAATGCTGTGCAACCATCACCTCTGTCTAGTTCCAGAACATTTTCACCCCCCAAAAAGGAAAGCCCGTCCCCATCAGCAGTCTCTCCCTGTTCCCCCTCCCCCAGCCCCTGGCAACCACCAATCTGCTTTCTGTCTCCATGGATTTGCCTGTTCTGGACATTTCTATAAATGGCATCACACAGGATGTGGCTTTTGTGTCTGTCTTCCTTCACTCAGTGGTGTTTTTGAAATCCGTCCATGTCGTGGCATGTGTCAGTGCTATTTCATTGTGTGCGTGGGCCACGTGGTGTTTACCCATTCCACGTCGTGTTGACGGACGTCTGAGTTGTTCCCACCTTTAGGTTGCCGTGAACAGTGCTGCCGTGAACACTGGTGGGAGTCTGGCATGATGCCACCGCGCCAGCGGTGCACGAGTGTCTATTGGAGTCCCTGTTTTCAGTTCTTTTGGGTACATGACCAGGAGTGGAGTCGCTGGGTCATACGCTGATGCTGCGTTGAACTTGTGGGGAAGCCACCAAACCCTTCCACAGTGGCTGCACCGTTTTACATGCCCCCAGCAGTACATGAGGGGGGGATTTCCGCACAACCCCACCAACACTATTATTCTTTTCTTTTCTTTTTCAAATTACAGCCACCGTAGGGGGTGTGAAGCAGTAAGAGGGCTATGTTTTTGTGTGTGTGTGGTTTTTTTTGAGACAAAGTCTGGTTCTGTTGCCCAGGCTAGAGTGCTGTGGCGTCAGCCTAGCTCACAGCAACCTCAAACTCCTGGGCTCAAGCAATCCTTCTGCCTCAGCCTCCTGAGTAGCTGGGACTACAGGCATGTGCCACCATGCCCGGCTAACTTTTTTATATATATATTTTTAGTTAGTTGTCCAGCTAATTTCTTTCTCTATTTTTTAGTAGAGACTGGGTCTCACTCTTGCTCAGGCTGGTCTTGAACTCCTGACCTTGAGCGATCCACCCGCCTCGGCCTCCCAGAGTGCTAGAATTACAGGCGTGAGCCACCGCCCAGCCAAGGGCTATGTTTTAAGGAAGAAAATCTGCATATTCATTTTGATTCTCTTAAAGATCCAGGCTATCATAGATTATGTACCGTCACGGCCGAAAGGGCCTTAATTTAGAAAATGTATAATTAACAAAATGTGTTAGAGACCAAAGTGGTATTTCTGGTTATTGGTAGAGTATTTTCTAATCCAGGCATTATCTTATGTAAATGTTCTACCTTGACGGTAGAAGGAAGGAGAGAAGAGAGAAAGGGTTACAGAGAAATACAAATTTGATCGCTGCAATCTTGGTCTCATGCTCTCCACCAGCCGCGCTGTTTGTTGAATCGTAAGGACTCAGTTTTCGTAAGTTTGGTAATTTCGTGTCTTTTTTATCAGATCCCGACGCAACCAAGAGTCCTTTCTCTCCCTGATGCGGAACTTTCCAGCTTACAGCCTTCTCGGACAGACGGGACCCTTTGCAGCGCTCGCCCAAGATCGCTCTCCGCGGAGACCCACGTTTCCAGTGACACAGCCTCCCCCACGCCGTCACTTTCTGTCACTGGCGCCTTTTCAAAATCAGTGTCTTCAAAGATGGGGCGTGTTAAGCTCGCGTCCTCCCCCAGAAGGAGCGAGGCTGGGCCTCGGGATGGCTCCCTCTCAGAAGGTGCCGACGACAGCCTGAACGGTAATCCACATGCTGGTGCAGTCATTACCCTGGACAGGAAGGGCGAGGCCACCGGTAGGGGTCCCTGGCTCGGTGGTGACCAGGCATTTCCATGGGCAGTGAGAGTCGAACCCTCAACTTCCGAACTTTTCCTGGTTAAGGGGCCGAGTCAGATTTTTGTTCTATCTTGAAAATCTGCCTCCAGAGTCTCAGTCCAGGCTGCTTTGACAGGGTCCTGGAGAGCGGGTGGCTTGAACACGATGTTTATTTCTCGCAGTCCTGGAGGCCGGAGGTCCGAGATCTGGGTGCCAGCCGCGTAGGGCTCTTGGTGAGGCCCCTCTCCCTGGCGTACGGATGGCTGCCTTTTCCGTGTCCTTTTCCAAGCCCAGTTACCTCCCAAAGGCCCCACTGTGGTAGGGATTCGGGCTTCAACGTGGAGATTTGGGGGCGACACAAGCAATTAGTCCACAGTATCCAGGAACTGTGACCTGCAAGAAATTTTTCTTGAGCCACGTGCAACCAAAAGGCAACCAAATTTTCCTTGTTGCAAAAGACAGAATCGCCTCCTTTTTCATTTCAGAAAAGGAAACAGATGTCTAACCCATCAAAAGCAAACATTTCTATTGTTTCAACATTATTTTTATTTTTATATTCTATTTATTTATGAGGGAAAGAGGAGAAAGAAAACAGGTTTGAAGCGAACACTTATTTTTTCTTTTGCCCCTCTGGGATGCTTTCTCATGGAATCAAAGTGAGATAGTTGTCTCCTGAGTGCCTGCTGTGTGGCCGCAGGTGCCACCAATAAGCAGACACGTCCCTGCCTGCCAGGCGCCGGGACTGCCCTGTCCTGGGCGTCGGTCAGACCGATGGGTGCGTCAGTGCCCCGCGAGGTCCCCAGTAGGCCTGCCAGCGTGGGGGGTGAAGCACTGCCAACAAAGGTTTGTCCCCGCCACATGGCCATGTCAGGGTCAGAGAAGAGGGGCGTGTCGTAGGCTGTGGCTGTGACAAAACCCCTCAGAGCCCCTTTAGTGCCTGTCTTCGCCACCTGGGCTCTGCCAGTACCGGTCTGTTTCTGGGCTAGTTCGCAGCACGTTGTGTACGTGAGCGGCCAGGCCCGAGAGGCTGGTGACAGGGTGTCCTCCCCACGTCGCCTCCCTTAATATGTGGGCGAGAAGGCAGAACCAGGACCAGTATCAGGCCCCGGGTTCCCCCATCCTGCCGTCTGTCTGTTCTGCCCTGCCCTGCCTTGCCCTGCCCTCCGCTCCACTCTCTAGAGCCCTCACTCCTGGGCTGGGGGGCTTCCCCTGGTGGCCAGAGCCCACCTGCTGCGTTCAGACACAGGCTTGAGGGAGGCAGCCGGGAGTGGTGAGTACAAGTCCAAGTTTGGCGTCCAGCGTGCCTGGGGTGGACGTCCTGGCTCCGCCTTTTACTAGCTGTGTAATCTCAGGCTCTCTGTGCCTCAGTCTCCACATCCGTGAAATGGGGGCAGTAGTAGAAAGAGCCTTGCAGAGCAGTTCTGTGGGGTCAGTGAGACTGGACGATGACGCCTGTGTAGGGGTCAGCCCCTGTGACCATAATGTTACTCCTTAGCCAGCGCCAACACTGTCCCCAAGTGCTTGCGTCTGGAATCTCCCATACCGCCTTTGCCCTGGGCCAGCCGGGATGACTTAGTTCAGAGGCTTTGTGTCCTAAAACCTTGTCCACGTATGTCTTGCACCTACCCACCATGTGAACTGTAGCAACAGGAAGTGGTAGCGGAGGGGCCCAGCCCTGGGACCCAATGGAGCCCTGAACCCGTTCCTGGCGGGATTTGATCTGGGTCTTAGGAAGCGGGTAGGCCGAGGACAGATGGAGGAAGGCAGGTGGTGCTGCCCTCAGCCGGGCGTTGGTGGCCGCACTCAGCTGACCTTTCCAGACCGAGTGGGCAGCTCAGTCTCTCCCTCCCCCCACTGCCCCCGTGCCTTCCGCCCAGAGGGCGCTGCTCCAGCCTGTTCCTAGGGGCACGCGGCACATCCCACCTCCCGCAGGGAACTGTCCTCCCGCACAGTGCGACTGCTCTGTGCCCTCCAGGGAGCCCTTAACAACCTGGGCCCCCTCTGGGTCTGCCAAAGCCAAGTGTCCTGGATTATGTCCCTGCTGGGGTTTGGAGACCCTCCAGGGTGGAGGCACCCCCAGCACGAACACACACAGCCCCTCCACTTCGGGGGGCTGAGCTGAATCACGCGGTAAGAGTTCCTGCCGGGAGTGGACTCGAGGTCCACAAACACATTCGCAGCCCTCGGCCAACTCCTCTGGCCCCATACTCCTGAGTCGCGATGCGCACTTGGTCCAGGCACGGGGTTGGGCCGGTCGGCGCCACAGTGGTCACTAAGTCTCTGCTGTGCCTTTAGCTTGTTGTAAATGAGAACTCAGGATGCCCTGGGGCCACATCTCAGGTCCCCGAGCTGCCCGGTGCCCCTCCCCCTCCAGCCCCCTCCTGCCACGTGCATACTGGTCACCAGCGTCCCATAGCGCATTGTGATCGTCGGCTTTTCTGTCTAGACCAGGGGCCAGTGGCCCGTTGTCTGTTTTTATAAACAAAGTTTTATCAGAACGCAGCCGTGCCCCTTCCTTTACACATTTTCTGTGGCTGCTTTTACACCATGATGGCCAAGTTGAATAGTCGCAGTGGGCCACCCCGAAAAGCTGGAAATACGCCTCATCTGGCCTTTCAGGGACAAAGTGTGCTGACCTCTGGGGTGCCTTGTGGAGGGCGGGGACCCCATGTATTCATATCTTTCTAAACATTTATGGAGTCGATAAGGGAGTAAATGTTGTCATACTGATTTTTTAATTACAGAATTTAGAATAAATATTTTATCCCTCGACGATCTGGCTCCAGATGTCAGTGCGAGCTCAGCCGTGGAACAGGAAGTAAGTACGGTGAAGTCATTTTTGGTTGTAGATTGTTACGTAGAGAGGCTGGCAACTGCAGTGTTCCGTTGAGGCCAGGGGCCCTCGATTCTGCCCCCCAGGGACATTAGCAACATCTGGGGACATTTTGGCTGTCACGATTGGGGGTGGCGGGTGCCACTGGCATCGCTATGGGGGAAGGCCAGGAACGCTGTTCAGTGTTGGGGAATGCACAGGGCAGCCCCACTGCAAAGAATGTTCTGGCCCCACAGGTCAGGAGTCAGCAGCTCAGGGACCTTGATTTAGGTGCTAAGAGGCTAAAGCTACTTCGTTTAGCAGATGATTAAAGTACATTCCGCCTAAACCAGCCCCAGCGCTGTCTGCACTGAGGCAGCGCTCACCCACTGTGCCCGTTGGAGCGCGCCGCTGCCATTTCCGCCCTGCTCGTGACCACTATCGAAGGCACGTTTTAGTAATTCGTAGCGATGGGACTTTAAATTTCATCCTCGCGCCACCTAAGCGTGCTTCGCGCCGCCGCGCACTAAGAAACCCTGTGCCGAAGCGTTCGGAGGCTTGTGGTTAGAATCCTCCACCTGCCCGAGCTTAAGGAGGGCCCAGCGCGGACCCTCGTGCGTGGGGACCGCCGCGAGTCCCCTACTCTGGGAATGTGGCGTTTTTATTAGCATGTTGATCTTTCAAGAACACTTGCCGGTGACCTCTGCTGTCCTTCATTTTAGAAACAAAGAGCCCGGAGGGAAAAGCCGTCCTGCAAAAGCCCCAGAGCCAAGGCCTCTGCTGGGCAGGGCACCCCAAGACGCGCCTGGGCGAGGAGCTCGGCGTCCCAGGGAAAGGCCACCTCGGTGGACAGGGACGAGGGCGTCCCCACTGCAAGTGAGTTCTCGGAGCATCTCAGTGCCAGCTCGGCCTCCGCTGCCCTGCAGGACGGCGCTCCCGGCGCGCGGTCGTCGTCTTACTCTGACGATTTTGAAAGCCCCCCAAGTCCGACGGCGTCTGAGCCAACGGCCCGCTGCACGCAGTCTCTGGACAGAACACTGGACTCTTTGTCCGAGTGCTCTTCGAGTCTGAAGACAGACCTTGTCCCACGGCCGCCCGAGTCTGGGAGAAAGTGGGGCAGGGCTGTGACAAGAGTCCCTGTGAAGGAGACAGCTGTGCAGACTCTGGACGCCGCCTTCGCCTACCCGCCCGCCCAGGGTAAGTGCGGTGGCCGTGGGGCCAGGGCACGCGGGACGGGTGCTCGCTGTGTGGCCCACGACATCCTGGAAAACACACGGAAGAGCCTGGGTCCCTGAGAGCTGGCGCTTGTCATTAATTAGCTGGGGGGAGGGACCTCAGCCCCCGGTTTCCTCTTCCATGGATGAGGGGCAGCTGTCCCAGGTTTTTCCAGTGTCTTCCTAGCTCTAAAGCGCCCAGAAGTTTCAGGACCAAAGACGAGGGCAGTGGGTTTCAACTGGCGATGCTGCCACTAGGGGCCCTGGGCAAGGTCTAGCGGTACCGTTGGTCGTCACCACTGAGGGCGGGGGGCTCTGGCCTGTGCTGGGTGGGGGCCAGGGATGCGGCCGGATACCCTGCAACCCACCCGAGAGGAGGGTCTGGCTCCGAGTGGGTGCCGGGGTAGGGAAGTCCTGGAGGAGGGAAAGCGAGAGATGCCACGTGTGAGTCTGGTGACTTGTCACACGGCGCTGGGGCTGGCGCTGACAGAGACACGAGTGAGCGCGTGCCCGTGGAGGAAACTCCTTCCTGGACCGCGCTTCCTCCAGCGGCTCATGGGCCTCCGGCGCGGGGGCTCTGAGGGCTGCCTCGTCGCAGGTCTAGCTGGTGGTCAGAACCCGGCGTCACCCCGTGGAGTCCATGCGGGTGCCCGCAGTCTTCCAAAGCTCACCCCTGCCGTGTGCAGTCCCAGGGGGGCCGCCCGATCCTGGTCTGTGTTTTAGGACGTGTTGAAGGGGCCGCTGCTTCCCATGCCCCATCTGACTTTCCAGCTGTTTCTCATTCCCCGCTTCAGCCTCCACCCTTCCCGGTGGAAGGGCCCCTTTCAATCATTCTTCTGTTCCCTTTCCTCACCCAGACAGTTCTTAACAGCGTAGACTGAGATTGTCGCTGGATGTGAAGGGGATGTACTTCTTCTTGGATCTGTTCCTTTTTTTAGAGACGGAGTCTCATTCTGTCACCTTGGCTGGAGTGCAGTGACATGGTCATAGCTCACTGCAGCCTCGAACTCCTGGGCTCAAGCGAGCCTCCTGCCTCAGCCTCCCAAGTAGCTGGGACTACAGGCATGCGCCACCACGCCAGGCTAATTTTTTCTATTTTTAGTAGAGACGGGGTCTCACTCTTGCTCAGGCTGGTCTCGAACTCCTGACCTCAAGCAATCCTCCCTCCTCGTCCTCCCAAAGTGCTGGGATTATAGGTGTGTGCCACCGTGCCCGGCCTCTACAAAAAATTTAAAAATGTTCTGGGTGTGTAGTCCCAGCTACTTGGAAGGAGGCTGAGGCAAGAGGATCGCTTGAACCCAGGAGTTCGAGGCTGCAGCGAGCTATGGTTGGGCCACTGTACTCCAGCCTCGGTGACAGAGGGAGACCCTGTCTCGAAAATAAGACTGTATCACAAAAAGCAAAGGGCAGAATGGTGGCCATGATGTTCCGAAAAAGGAAAGAATGGCCCACATAGTTTATTTCAGCGTCATATCCGTGGACGAGAAAGTCATTGTTTTGTGTCCTGCCCGCTCCCCCTCTCCCTTTGTCCTCGAGACAGCACCCAGTGTGGCGACCGTCGGGCCTGCCCTGGGAGGCGCCTACGTGGACCCGATACCCATTGCCAATTACATCATCAGCGCGGACGCAATAGAAGGTAACAGCCTGACTCGGTGGGTCCTTCCTGTGACATTTTACAGACTGTATCTGATCCGCAAACTCATGCCCACCCGTGGATGTGGGGCACCTCCTTTAATGCTGGGTTCAAGGAATCCATTGGGTGGGAATTATCACATCCAGGGACAACTGCCACAGTTTATAGGATCCCAGATGACAGCCTGAGATCATCCTTGAACCTTCTGTCTCTTGCAAAGGGACACCAATGTCACACAAAACAGGAGGGTGAAGAAGAATACGCTTGTAAAGCCTCCACCCCAGCAAGGCTATTCTTACGTTGTCTGTTACCCGGGGAGCCTTTTTGTCTCTAAGCCACGATTTTTTTCCCCTGAAGACGCTCACTTTTGATCGGTGCTGAGCAGCAGCCACAGGCGGGCGGACACATCCCTGGCCTCCTGGGCTGAGCCTGGCGTGTCTGTGTGGAACTGGGAAGGGCCCAGCCTGGCCTGGGGCGTGAGGAAGTCACCTCAAAGCCGCCTTAGAAGGCTTAGACTTCCATGGAGCCACTGAAGGCTCGCGCGATACAAGTTAAAAGTCTATCTGGTACCTGCTGTTTTTTCTCTTTTCAATTTTCTTAATAGGATTTTTTTTAAAAAGTATGAAGATATTAAAATATACCAGTTGTAAGGAGAGAAATGTTTATATCTTTTTTTTAAAAAAAAAAACTTAACAACCTGGTTTTCCACTTAACATTACCTCAGAGATTTTTCCATGTTACCAAGTAATCCTTTTTTTTAATTTTTTAATTTTTGTATTTTTTTATTTCAGCATATTACAGGGCCAAGGAATCCTAATAATGATCATTTTTAACCGATGTCCAGTTTTTATTTTTATTTTTATTTATTTATTTATTTATTTTTTGAGACAGAGTCTCATTGTGTTGCCCGGGCTAGAGTGACGTGGCGTCAGCCTAGCTCACAGCAACCTCAAACTCCTGGGCTCAAGCGATCCTCCTGCCTCAGCCTCCCGAGTAGCTGGGACTACAGGCATGCGCCACCATGCCCCGGCTAATTTTTTCTATATATTTTTAGTTGTCCAGATAATTTCTTTCTATTTTTAGTAGAGACGGGGGTCTCACTCCTGCTCAGGCTGGTTTCGAACTCGTGAGCTCAAACAATCCACCCGCCTCGGCCTCCCAGAGAGCTAGGATTACAGGCGTGAGCCACCGCGCCCGGCCTCAGTTTTTATTTTTAATTATGTTTCAAATGTAGTTAACATTTTTAATTTGTATCTTTAACTTTTTTATTTCTGATTTTTAATAATTTTAGTGTTTCAAAAAGACATAACCTTTTTTCTTTTTTCTCTCTTTTTTTTAAATTCCCACTTTACAGATGAAAAAAGACATAACTTTTATTCTCATAAGCATTCTTACCACATTGTTGCAGCCGTGCGGTTTTTATGCCAATGTACTAGACTTTTAAAAAAAATTTTGTCAGAATATCATAGTAGTGCATATTTTTGGGGTGCCTGTGATATCCTGATGGCTACTTATAACGTGTCATGATGAAATCAGGGTAACTGAGATACCCACGGCCTCCAATGCTTATCTTTTCTTTGCGTTGGAAACATTCCAATTCTTCTCTTCTAGCCTTTTTTTTTTTTTTTGAGACAGGGTCTTGCTGTCGCCTGGGCAGTGGCGTCATCATAGCTCACTGCAGCCTCCACTGATGCCTGGGCTTAGGCACGCATCACCGCATCTGGCTAATTTTTACATTTTTTGTAGAGGTGGGGTGTCGCTATTGCCCAGGCTGGTCGTCTAGCTATTTTGAGAATTCACTAGACTTTTTTCTTAGTGTTTGGTATTTAGGTTAAAACTTCCACGTTTGCCCGGGAGCTGAGCAGGGACCACGTGTGCAGCTCTTGAAAGTCACACGTCACTCAGCAGAAAGCAATTCATTTATTAGAGTATGAGACAGACAGGAACAGGCGAGGCCTTTACCACCCCAGGAGGAGGCAGTCCTTCCAGAAAGCAGCCGGACCGTACCAAGCCGCTGGGCGCGGAGTGGGGATGGGGGTGCAGAACTCATGGGGCCCCAGTGGAGCCGCTGAGTGACACCGAGTGGGGACAGCCCTGACAGCCTACAGCCCGGCCGTGCTGGCACTGAACGACATGCTGAAGCAGCAGCTGAGCCTGACGCAGCAGTTCATCGAGGCCAGCCGTCACCTGCACGTCTCAGTCCTGCAGTCCCTGGACAGGGACTCCTACCACTACCACACCCTGGAGGAAGCCAAAGAGGTGACCGGAGCAGAGCCACGTCTTTCCCGCCGTGGCGGGGGGCGGAGTGGTCAGGGTGGGGACAGCTCTGAGATGCCAGTCGGGGGGAGGCTGATGGGGTCCTGGAGCCCTCAGCCCGGTGCTGCAGGGATGTGTTGAGCCTGTCACCTTTTGTCCTTGTGGAAGGAGCCTCATTTCCTCCTTGTTCTGTGACAAGAGCTGGTGCGGGTGGGGGTACTGAGCACCTAGGCCTTGCAGCCGCCCAGCCTGGCCTCTGTGTGACCTCGGACCAAAGGGGACCTACTCACTGAGGCACTGTCTTCTCCTCTGCGGGGGGTCCTGTTCCTGTCACGGACCCTCCTGAGTGCCACCCGAGGTGGGCGGAGGTGGCCCAGCCTTTCTCCTTGGCCCCTCAGGTCAAAGCCCAAGGGATGCCACCTTCACTTTCCTTTTCTCTCCTCCAAAAATTTTTTTCCGATTACCAAAAAACATGGGCCTATTTCCTGAAAATCCCGTTACAGAGATGCATCATGTACGGTCTTCTGTAATTTCAGGGGTAACTGTTCCCAAGTTGACATCTCTTCTTTCAGATTTTCCCTGTGCAGAGTCTGAACTGGATTTGTGTATTTCTTCTTAGAAATGGTGTCATACTATATGCGGTGTCCTTTATAGTGATTTTTAAAATTTTTACATTCCAACATTTTAATTTGGATTCCTAAAAAATGACTTTAAAAACATAAAAGCAGGCCGGGCGCAGTGGCTCACGCCTGTGGTCGCAGCTACTTGAGCCCAAGAATTGGAGGCTACAGGGAGCTATGGTGACGCCACTGCACTCCGGCCTAGGCGACACAGTGAGACTCTGGCTCAAAAAAACAAACCAAACTAAACCGCCCCAAAAACAAAAAAATAAAATCATAATGCCATTTTAATGACCAAACCAAATGTCCTTAGTGTCCACGAATAGCCATTGTTCAGATTTCTGCTCGTCTCATTAAAGTTGTATATTCTGTTCCCATTTTTTAAAATCAAATCCACATTTTATTTGGACTCAAATAAACTCTGCAAAATTGATTTTCTTCACCAAAAATAACGGCAGTATTTTCCATATTAGTTCTAGACAAACCACAAAACCCTTATTTTTGTAGCTTCTCCAGGTCGTGTGTATAAATCAAGACGAGGCAGGAGATAAAGTCGTGGAAAAAGAAGGAAACAAGTCAGTTGTCAGTACCCACGGCCTCTGGCTCTCTTAACCACGAAACAGAAGCAGCACAGACCTGCTCAAACGTTCAGGGAGATAAAGGCCGAACGGAACGCAAACGGCGATGAGCAGGCGTGGAAGCCTGGCGGGCACTTCCACTCACACTGTAACTGTCGTCCTGTTCTGTAGTCAGGACCCAAAGGCCACACACTGAGACTGTTGATGTGTCTTTTTAGCCTCTTAATCTAGAGCAGTAACTGGTTCTCAGCCCCGCAGCGCCAGAGTCCCCTGGTGCCCTGTGAAAGCAAGTGCTGGGCCCTCCCGCAGAAGGGCAGGCCTGGGAGTGGGCGTTTCTGCCGCTGCTGCCTGGGGACCCACTTTCTACAGGTCATTCCCCCATCTCTCCTTTGTTTCCTTGCAGTTTATTGTTCTATTCTATGTATTTTTTTAGAGGCAGGTTCTTGCTCTGCTGCCCAGGCTCTGCTGTGCAGTGGTGTCATCATAGCTCACTGTAGCCTCGAACTCCTGGGCTCAAGTGATCCTCCTGCCTCAGCCTCCTGAGTAGCCAGGACTGCTGGCACATGCCATGCCTGGCTAATTTTTAAATTTTTTGTAGAGACGGGGTCTCGCTGTGTTGCCCAGGCTGGTCGGGAATTCCTGGCCTCAAGCAATCCTCCTGCCTCAGCCTTACAAAGTGCTGGGATTATAGGCGTGAGCCATGTGCCTGGCCCAGTTTATTCGCTGAAGAAAGCAGGTTGGGTATCCCACAGGTTCCCACATTGTGGACTTTGCTGATTGAACCTCTTTGGGGTCCTTGAACTCATTCCTCGGTGGGATGTATGTCAGCTGATCCAATGCAGGTTGAAGTGATGTGATCACACCACCTGCCTACAGCCCACTATGGCTCCCTGCTGCCTGCTCCAGGCCCATGTGTCCCCAACCCCACCCACTGAGGGCACCCACAGGCACCCCTTTCTCAGGGCTCACCCTGTGTGGCACCCACCTGGGCCTGCTTGGGTATCCCTCTCCCCTTCTGTTTCCGTAGCTCCTGGGCACTCCTGTGTGCCAGCTCTTGCTACGTGGCGTCCCATCCCTTTTCTGTCAGCCCAGCAGGCCCCTGCCAAGGACAGGCGCAGTGTGCACTCACTTCCTTAGAGCCCAGAAGCCACTGGGTCCGTACTGAGGTGGTGGTGGTGACGGCGCCCCTCTGTCCTCTGCCCTACAGTACATCAGGCGCCACAGGCCCACTCCGCTGACCATGGAGGACGCCCTGAAGGCCGTGAAGGACGAGCTGTGAGTGCCAGCAGGTGAGGCTGACGTGCGGCTCGATCTAACGGACTGTCCTATACACCTGCTCCACGCATGCGCGTGCACACACACACACACACACGGACAGAGCACAGTGCAGGGGACACTCCGTGGTCGGGGCAGATGGAGCTCGGGTGCAGGATTGTCCTCAGCCAAATCCCAGCTCAGTAACTGAACCCCCCCAGCCACCCTCTCCTTGGTGGGTTGTCACGAGGAGCGAGCACTCCCAGCACCCGCGAAGACACACCACAGGCCCGTGGAACTGCAGTCATGGGGGGAGCCATGTGCCACTTACAGCAGGACGGGACACCAGGCTGTGCGGGGCAGCTCTGCTCGGCCAGGTGCCAGCAGCCCGGCGAGCCGAGGGAGGCAGCGCGGCTCACAGAAGCCCCGCCGGGTGACGAGGACGCAGGACCAGGTCGCCACGCGGGAGGGCAGGCCGCCCGGGCAGGGCAGCTGACCTCGCTCACACCGGGTCCGCACCCAGAACACGCCGCCTCCTCCCGCAGCCCGAGTCCATTTCCGACTTAGACGTGCAGAGGAGAAGTCTTTAAAAAAAAGTCTTTATTTGAAGGCAAAACAGTAAAATCCACAAGAAATTGTTAACAGCACGTGTTTATGTTTTATCCAGAATCAGACAGGTTTGAACAATTCACAGCTACAGGAATCTAGAACAGAATCAAATATTTTATCACTTTGGGTTGAAAAGGTGGAGAGGAGTTTGCATCTTATTGAAAAGAAGTTTTCAAAAACGTTTCTGTACAAATAAACGGCACCACACCCAGCTGCCCAGGGACGCCGGGCACGGCCGATCCCGGCAGTCACCCAGCAGCTTCCGGCAGGGGCAGCTCCACTCCTGGCCGCACCTCCCTTTGGGGGTGGGGGGTGCAAACGAAATGAGAGCAGGAGGCCCTAGCGGGGGCGCCCTCCGCACTCTGGATGGAAGGGGCCGTCGCGCGCGCTGGTGTTGGGCTCTTCTAAGTGAGAAACACGAGGAGGCGCCAGGTGCAGACTCCAAGGGCCGTGCCCCTCGACCTGAAGCCACTTTAGACTGGTTTCCTGCTAGAACCTCTGTTTCTCCAAACAGCAAATGGCTAACGTTCCAGGAAACAAAACTCAACTTACACAACTAAAGGAACCGAACTAAGGGCCAGTATGTCTTAGAGGAATTAGGTTTCAAATGATCTCAGTGGGGATCGTCTCAGGTCAACATGTTCTAAAACTAAACCAATGGGAATAAAAATGAAAACCTTGCTTAACTTTGCCAGTCAAAAACGTTTTGTTTGTCTGTTTTTCAATCGTGAGCAGTCATGGCGCCCGGCTGTGGCTTCATCACTACACAGCCAGAGGGGGCAGGCAGGTTAGACCCTGCCGGCCCCGCGCCCCTTAGATCTGGTGGCAGGAAGATGCGCACCTCCGCGCCTTCGGGTACGAAGAGCTCTTACTCGGGGGGCGGAGGGTCTTGCGTTTCTTGCTTCGCTGTAAAGGAAAACGAGCCCACGGCCCTGGTGGCTGCGGCGCCTCCTGGCGTGGTTTGCAGGCGGAGCCCGTGCCCTTTCCACGCCACGAGCAGGGCGCTCCTGGCTAGGCATGCGTGAGTCTCCTCTTGTCGTTCCCCAAATGTGGAGACCGCGTGAGAACTAAGCTGTCACTACGTTCTTCCACTGCCAGTAAGCCAGGAAGGGCCCCACAGCCAGTGCCGCCGGCGCGGGTCCTGGTGCGCGGCGCTACTTACACTCATCCCTGGCCTTCATGCGGGCGATGAAGGAGTAGCTCTTGTTCCGGCGGTAGTTCTCGTAGGGGTCGTCCAGGGCCACACCCACACCCTTGTACTGGTCCCACTTGTCCCGGACGTCCCCCCCCTTGATGGGGTCCTGGATCCCTTGCTCTTTCACACCGAGGCCGCCGGAGCCACTCCAGCCTTGAGAGAGAGGGACGCAGGGTTACAACACACGAAACAGGCTGAGCCCGTGACACATTTCCCGACGAGAAGGCAAACGGGAACGCAGTCGGGGAGCTGAGGAGCATGCAGAACCTGGCGGCTCGCAAGGGTGGAGCTGATGCCGCAGAAAGAACCCGGCAAGAACCCCGCGGGCCCTTTTTAGCAGTTCTAGGCGTGAGTCAGATCTGCGCCATCAGTCCCCGTGTGCACGGGGGAAAAGCACTGCCAGCTGCTACCCCCACAGCGCGCAGGGGCGGTCTTCGAGGAGCCTTACCCATCTTCACCAGCATCTGGTGGCCTTTGTTCTCTTCTCCGAGCCGCGAGTCAGGTATATGAGGTGCTGAATTAGAACCCAGACCAGCGGAGGAACTAAAATTGAGACAGTTACGTTTTTGTAAGAAATGATCGGTACATTTATTGGAACGACAGTTATTAGGATCTTACAGTGTGTAGCTCACGTAAACGTTCACCACGGTCGGGGGACACACACGTATTCCTCGTCCCTACCGTCGTTCTTAATCCTCTGTCAGCCAGATGAGGGGCCCCTCAGATGACCCCTGCCCACACTCGGCGTCAGGGGCAGGTCACATGGAGCCCCCAAGGAGGTGAGGAAGCGCAGAGCCCAGCCGCCACCTGGGCTATACACGGTGACTACGGTGGTGTGGGGTGCGCGGCGGCCACCGTCCCTGGGCTAACGCTCTTGGTCTCTGAGGCCCGGTCTCAGCACGGGCCACCACACGCACACGTTCTAACGGCAGATGTTCATGCATTCGCAGCAAAGCACCAGAGGGTCCAGCACTGGCAGCGCGTCGCGGCTAAGACGGAAATCTTACGGCAGGGTGGGGCTCCTGGACCGCGACCGCCGTCGTCGTCCCGGGGAGTACGACTTGGACCTGGACCTGGACCGGGAGCGGGAGCGGCTTCTCGAGGAGCGCGACCGGCTCTGGCTCCTGCGGGCGAGAGTGCGAGGGTCAGCGGCAGCCCGGCTGCGACAGGGAGCCGCGGTGAGAGGCCTCGCCTGTCCCCATCCCGAGGCGGCGCTCAACATACCTGGATCTGGAGCGGGAGTACGAGCGGGAGCAGGAACGTGACCTTGACCTCGAGTACGAGCCTGACGACTTCGAGGATCTTGAGTTGGAGGGGGAGGAAGAACGCCCTCGGCTCTTGGATCTGCTCCGAGACCTCGAGGGTCCACTGCAGGGAGGAGCCTGGTAAGTGGGAGCCCGAAAGCCCCCGTGGCCCCTGCAGGCCACGTCCAGCCTGCCCCGGACCCCGGGTTCCTGGAAGACCCCAGGTGTCGGGGGTCTGGGTGTGGACAACCTTCTCACTGCTGTGTCAACTCGGGCCCTGTGGGAACTCGCCCGGCGGCTAGGCCTGCAGCGCCGTTATCCCTCGGCCAGACCGGACTTTCCTTGGCCTGTGTGTCAGGATTCGCACTAGCACCCATCGTAACCGTGGCCAGGGAGGCCGGCTGATGGCCACGCGTGCACAAAGGCAGTGGGGAGGGGCTGACCAGACGTCTGTGTTCTCTCACCTGTTCCTTTTTTCCTGGCCTTTCCTCCGCCGGGCCCGCATTTTTGCTCGGAAGAACTCGTAGAGGCCGTTCTGCTCCCAGCCTTCGCTGTAAGACACGGCATTCTCTGTGACTATGCAAAGCCCTCCCGCAGGGAACTTGTGAAGAAATCACCAGGAATGACACCCACACCCAGAGAACCGTGGGGGGCTCGTGGCCCAGCAGCCATGGGCCAGGGCCAGCCCTCGCCTTCCTCGATCATGCAGGACACGCCCAGGCTGGCGGCCTCGTGCGGGCGCCCCTCAGAGAGCAGCTCAGTCACGTACGCGGGGGTCCCGTTGTGGCCCTGCTGGCCCCAGCTCCGTGCCCTGTCCCTGATGCTGCTTTGCTAAGGAGGGTTCCGGGGCCTGCGGTCACCGTAACTGGGCACTGGGGACTCTGCCTCATAGGTGCACAGGCTCCAGCCTGACCAGGGCAGGAGGCGACCACTGGGGGACAGTCTGCTGAGAAGGAGCCACAGTCGGCGTGTGGCACACACTTGAGCTGTGCTGACACCACGTCTGCCGTAACTTCCGGTGCTCATGCGTCTTGATTAAAGAAGCCCTTCTCTGAGGACCGCCACACGTATGCCGTGCCTATGTGACATACACTCTCGACTCAGGGTGGCATTTTTCTCCTTAGGGGCGGCCACATTTTCTCAGCTGGGCAGAAGGCATGGCTATTAGGAGTCTTTCTCTCGAAGGAAACACATCCAGGGAGAAGACAGTCCAGGGGCGGGGACCGGGCCTCCCCTGCCCTCCCCTCTGCTGCTCTCCCGGCCTTACCTGTTCCTTGGCCTGTCGTGGGACGGGGGGCTGTAGAAGGCCTCCACAGCCGCCAGCAGCCTCTCGCTGGGTGGCATGGGGGGTGGGAGGCGGATGTCTTTAGGGTCCAAAGGCTTGTACTCGTGGTCTTCCAGCTGCAGTAGGGAACGGAGCTGTCACCGTGCTCTGGCAGAGGCCACTCAGGCCCACCCAGGGTGTGGTGGGGCGGGCAGGGCCAGGGCCAGGGCCTAGGTTTGGTGTCAGGGATGTCCTGGGCACCACAGTTCCTCATCCTTCCCTTTGGGGAAGTCCCATTCCTCCAAGGGCACTGGCCACACCGAGGACTCCTAGATGGTGACTCACAGTTCATTTGATGCTGATAAAAGCCGCGGGGCTCTCTTCAGAAAATCACACATACGACACTGCCCCCAAGCTCAGCATCCCACACTCCCGGGGTGTAGACCGCTGTTCCTGTGCCCATATCGTCTGCCCCCACCAGGCCCCTCCCTCCATCAGCGCGGCCTCAGCCCGACCCCGGGGGCAGCCCGACCCCGGGGCCAGCCCGCCCACGTCTTTCTTCCCTGCTTCATCTGCCCGGGGAGGCCCTGGCCTGGTTTGCCTGGGTCCCTGCTCCGTGCTGACCTGTGGAACCCTCCCTGGCTTCCTGGTGGATGTGTCTGAGAGGGGGCAGCAGACGGCAGTGGCCAGCACAGCCCTCAGAGGCCCTGAGCCCCAGCCCCGGCTCCCGCATGCTGGTCCCAGCCCTGCCTGACTCCTACAGGGCCGTCCCGCCCCTGCTTGACAGGTGGCCCCTTCCCGGGATCCTTCCACTGGCAGCCGTTGGAAAAGGCGGTTTCTGAGGGCTGGGACCCAGAGGGACAAACGGAGGACCCACACCTCATGCACACCCAGATGGCTCTGTGCAGCTGAAGCCTACTGTGGCGGGAGGGAGGGGAAGGAGGTAGGGTGGACACAGGCTTGTCGGGCACCTCACGGCAGCACCAAGGACGTCGGCTCGGACTCATCTGCACCGAGCGGTCAGGGTCACTTGCAGGCGGGAAATGAGGCAGGGGAGGGAGCCCCGGGAAGCAGGTTGCACGCGGAGAAGCAGGCGTGGCACAGGCGCGCACAGCCCAGCTCGGAGCCCGCCGCAGCGACGTTACCTTCACGAGGGGGGCCATCAGCCCGGCAGGGAGGTCGAAGTAGGGCACATTGGGGACCAGGCTGGGGTCATCGTGGTTGATGTGGGGTGGGCCCTGTCGCCGCATGTGGGGGGGCTGCCCGTTGAAGCCATGAGGGGGAGGGCCGAAGTCGGGGTGCTGGGGCCCAGCCCAGGGTGGGTGCTCGTTGATGCCAGGATGAGGCATGCGGTGACCAGGGTGGTGGTGAGGGGGGCCCAGCTCTGCAAGACAGAAACTCGCCTCAGGACACTGTGGCCAACCAGCCACCATCTCCAGGGGACAAGTGCCCACGCGAAAGGGCTCAGTAAGGGGCAAGAGGCCACTGTCTCTGGGCAGCTATGCTGGCACCTTCTCTCACTGGATGACACGAGGCAAAGGCAGGGAGCAGCCAGGCTGAGGGGCCTGTCCTGCAGCCACACATAGGCCAGCACCCAGGGGAGTCACGGAATTGTGAAATAGCAATGTTACGGGCTGAACTGCATGTCCCCAAATTCATGTGTTGTTGCTGTAACCCCCAGGGCCTCAGAATGTGACTGTACCTCAAGACAGGATCTTTGAGAGGGGAATGAGTTAAAATGAGGTCATTAAAGTAGGCCCTAATCCAATGTGACTGGTGTCCTCTTAAAAGGTGATTAGGACACAGACATCTACAGAGAAGACGCCATCTACAGGCCAAGGAGAGAGGCCTCAGAAAAACCACCCTGTGGACACCTTGATCTCTGACTCCTGCCTCCAGGTCCCTGAGCCTGTGCACCCCACCCAGTCTCTGCTCTGTCACGGCAGCCCGAGCAAACTAATGGAAGCAGTAAGTGAGCTAAGTGGACTCAGAGCTGAATTTAGTTACGAATGGACTTAAAAACAAAAGCACAAATAAAGTAGAAATAAAATTTTTAAAAAAACAACAAAGCTAAAGTTGATTCCTTAAACTACCAAAATGAAGAAACTAGGCCGGGCGCAGTGGCTCGCACCTGTAATCCTAGCACTCTGGGATGCTGACGCAGGAGGATCGTTTGAGGCCAGTTTGAGACCAGCCTGAGCAAGAGCGAGACCGTGTCTCTACCAAAAATAGAAAAAAATCAGCTGGACATGGTGGCATGTGCCTGTAGTCCCAGCTACTCGGGAGGCTGAGGCAGGAGGATCGCTTGAGCCCAGGAGGTGGAGGCTGCCGTGAGCTATGACCACGCCACTGCACTCTGCCCTGGGGCGACTGAGTGAGACTCTGTCTCAAAACAATAAAAAAATAAAATGAGAAAACGAATACAAACAGCAGGCAGCAGCAAGAAACAGAAAAGGCCTCGTCCTGTTCTCACGGAGCCTGTCCAGGGTGGGAACCCGGGAGTTACTGTTGCCTTCGGAACCCCCGTGAGGACGGGCAGGCAGAGCCTGTTCCTGGCCCAGGTGGAAGAGAGGACAGGACTCGCCCCCACAACCAGCCTAACCAAACCAGGGTGGCAAAGACAGTAAGTACATCTGGGGTCCTTGGCTGCCAGAGAGGTGACACTGAGTCCCTCCTCCTCCGCCCTCCTGAGGGCCCGAGCTGAGCTCCTTGGACGTCCTATGATGCGACCATCCGGACCCTGAGCAGCGCCAGCAGCCTGCTTGGCAGGCCGACCAGTGGCGCCTCCTGCAGGCCCTCGTGGGGGTGCCCTTGGACTCACCGGCGGGGAAGTCTCCCTGGGGGTAGTCGAAGCGGTGAGGGTAGGGTGGCCGCTCGAAGGGGTGCCGTGGGGGGAAGTCGTCCTGCATGAAGCGGGGCGGGAAGCGGTTGAAGTTGTGGGGGTGTGGCGGCTGGTTGAACTGTGGGTGCTGCTGGTGGGGCGGGAAGGGCCCCCGGAAGTGCGGCGGCCGCTGCATGCGGAAGGGCGGCTCGCGCTGGCCCCCGCCCCAGGGCGGCTGCTCGTGCTGGCTGCTCCAGGGGCCCTCGAACTGGCTGTTCCAGGCGGGGTCGGGCTGGCTGTTCCAGGGCGCGTCACGCTGGCCGTTCCAGCCGGGGTCCCCACGCTGCTCGCCCCACATGCCCTCATGGCTATTGTTCCAGGGCGGGCAGTGGGGCGGCCCGCCTTGGTGGTGTGGGTAGGGGGGCTGCTCCGGTGGCTGCAAGGCAAGGCATAGACGTGAGCCCCTCTCAAGCCAGACCCCAGCAGACACCGGGAGCGCTGCTCTCTGATAGAAGGCGCTGGCCTGGCACATCTCGGCACCTTGTTTACTCCGATGTTTGCAGCAGATGTGGGCTGCAGCGCCACCCACAGCTGGGGCCCTTGCATTGGTGCAAAGTGACCAGACTCTCAACTGCTGCTCCCGCACCTTGGTCCCAGGACTGCTTCCGGCTGCTGGGCAGCCCCAACACACCGCTCTCCCTGCGCTGCCCAACAAACACCAGCCCCTCACCCTGTGGGGGGAGGGGGTGGCACAGAGGCGCATCTGGTGCCACTTCTCAGAGCGCCCCAGCACGGCAGGGCCCCCAGGTTCCCACCAGTGAGCCCACTCTGATGACACACCTGCCCTGTCCCTGTCAGGGCCCGCTCAAGGGGTCATGTCCCAGATAAGCCACTTGCCCTCACTCCTCATCTCAGGGTCTGCCTCTGGGGGGACCTTTCTGTAGACTGAAGACAACAGGCTCCAGCTCGCACCCAGCTGCTGCTTGACGACCCAAAGCCAGGATGGCAACTCCAGCTCGGGCGAGAACGTGCACAGCTGAGGGCGCCAAGAGGGCCCGTCTGTCTCTGGGGTCACGGCTGGTCAGCTCTGCCAACCGCTCCCATGGGGAGGCTGGCCCAGGCCGCGAAGGGAAGCCACAGAGCCGGATTATCAAATGTCAGAATGACTTCCAAACGTGCAGGCACCACGTGGGCAGGCCAGACCGCTGTTTCTGACGGCGGACTGCCGGGTGCGCTGCCGGCCTAGGGCAGACCCTCAACAAGAAGGGTCCTGTTACTCTGGTCCACAAAAAAGACAGAGCCTGAAGACACTAAGGGCCTCTGTTTCCACACCTACAAAATGGGGACGAGATCCGCTTCCGCATCAGAGGGTTCCCACCAACGGCCAAGACCACGTGGCTGACAGCTGGCACTCGGGTGGGGGAGCTGTCTTTATGGGAACGTCCAATGTTTTGTGAAGTTCAAGCTCAAGAGTGGGAGGCTCAAAGCCACAATTCCCAGTTGTCAGTCCAGAGCTGTCTCCCTGCCATCCTTCCGCCGCTCCTCGTGGACACGGAGACACCTGGTTAGGCCGTGCTGCGGGCGGGGACGGTGGGTGCCTGGGAAGGGCTGTGACTAAGTGCTCCGACTGGACCCAGCGAGCTGCATGGGTGTTTCCCAGGCGTGTCCCGGGCACGCTGTGCCAGACGGGGTGACCCCTGCTCTAGCCTAGATGTTTCTGCCCCCAGAAAACGCTGCGCCTGCAGCCTCCCGGGTGCAAGCCTCACACCTCCGACTCTCCCTTTCTCTGCAGAGCACCTTGTTCTTTCCGGGAGGACAGAACGTGGACGCTTAGCTCATTGAATTAGTGAAAAAGGAAAGGATCCTTATTGGGTCTTTGGCTTTAGCAATAGAAAGTTTTAAAAAATTTAAAAAAAGGAAAACCAACCAACCACCTTGCTGTCCTTAACAGTATCGAACTTCCTAGCACTTGCAGAAAATGGGGCCTACATCACTGAGAGGCCCGGAATAATCGAAGCGTAGGGAAGGACACAAAGACCGGCTCTCTCACTCTGCCTGTCCCTGAGCCACAGGGAGATACAGCTGGCTGTCGCTCATGCAGCATAAGCTCTGTGGCAGCCGCAGAATCTTGCTGGAGTTTCCTCCTCGAGCCACTAAACCCCCACGTAACGGGCGCAGGGGAGGTCGTTCCCCACCTGCCGTCCTGTGGGGCCCCAGGGGCCACCTTCCTGCACCACACGTTTCAAGAAATACCTGCTGTTGGCCCCAGGGAGCCACGGGGTGAGGCTGGTCAAACCAAGGGGGCTTGTTAGGTGGGATCTGGTCATGGGGTCCGGGGCCTCGGGGGCCGGCGGCTGCAGGATCCTGGACCCCTCCTGTGGCGTCATACTCCGCGGAGCCCGGCATTTGGATGGGGGGCTTGTTGTCATCTGAACACAGGTGAGGAGGCAAGGAGAGAAGGCCTGTCAGCAGGAGATGCCGTCTCCTCAACACCGACCAGAGCCAACCAGACCTGGGTACTTACTGCTAAATCAGTTCCTGCCTCCTGACCCCACTGAGAACTACGGCCACCACCTGCTTCCGGGAAGGGGACAGGCAGACAGGAGGTTTGAGCTCACACCTACAACACACGTTTGTCTTTTATGAAAGCTTTACAATAAGCGTGTCTCACATCTCCATTTTAGTTAGCTAAAGGATTTTATCGACGTTCGTTTTATCAGACCCCTTTTCTGTATCTAGGTAAAAGGTCACTTCCCCCAACTTAATTTGTTTTATATTAGATTTTCTGGTGTCAAACCATTCTTATATTCCTGGGACAAATCCTACTTGATCATGATGTATTTTTCATCCTTTGTTGGATTTCATTTGTTAAGATTTTGTTTAGTATTTCTGTGTCTTTGTTCAGAAGTGATACTAAATTATACATTTATACATATATATCATGTATAGATATATCTATATGTTTATATCATGTATACATGCATATATATCGAACCACTGTACTCCAGCCTGGGCAACAGACCAAGATCCTGTCCCCAAAATATATATATATCACAGC